GCCTCTAAGCATTTTGCTGTATTTTTAGACACTTTTGGTTACTACTAATAAAAACATACTAATCAGAGGTCTGTAATATACCATTTGCTGAGCCTCCCATTGCCTTTGAATGACAAAATAGTATCCACAGTGATGTCATAATGCTGTAGCAACAATAATGTCATCCATTTATTTATATTCATGGAAGTAAAGATTTTCTCCTGATGTCATTGCTGGTAACGTATTTAAATTTTTTAGTTTGATTCAACCTCACAAGATTGAAAAGAGGGCTGTGAAGCAAATTTAACTGCATTTTATGTAATGTCCATTTGCCTTCCACGCTGTATATTTCAGCTGCTTTTGATGAACTATTACTGCACCACTGTTTCTGCCCAAAGAGCCTTTATAGAGAGCATTAGAGATAATTGTGCAATGTATTGCAGACTATTAACTTGCCAGCGTTTTAATGGTATTGATCACATCTATGAATTATATTACTTGGTGATGTTCACAATTTAGTCATATTTACTAACTTTTTATTACCAATTTAATAAAGTATGATTTTTTTCTAAACTGTGGCTATCAGCAAGCAAAGTTTATGTTTATTTGCAATACACATATATACTGTGCTATTAAGTCTGTTTTAATTAAAAGCAATTTGCAAAACTGAATGAGCAGAGACACTGAAATATTTCTGGGGTTATTGGTCCTAATGTAATTTTGTAGCCATTAAGGGGCCATACTGCTGAGCAGGGATGAGCTTTAAGTTCAGGTCAAACACAAGTTTCAAGAGTTATTTCTAGTTCCAAGAGTTATTCCTAGTTCAAAGAGTTATTCTTAATCCCTAGAGCTATTCCTACAGCAGTATGTTCTCTGTGCATATTCAGAATCCCTACATTCTATCACTCCTGCCTTCCTGTGAATTCAACAACCCATGGGTGCAAGAGACTTATGTACCCTGCTTTCCTATAATTCCAACCTAAGTGCTTCTGGATAACCTTGCACTCCTGCCTTACTATGAGTCCAGCATGCCACTACTGTAAGATACTTCTGCACATCCACTTTCCTGTAATTTCAACACCTCAGAGCTTCTAGATATCCTTGCAGTATTGCCTCTTGTCAGTTCAGCATCCCAGTGCTGCAAGAGACCTCTGCACTCATGCCTTTCAGTAATTTCAACACCTCAGTATTTCTAGCAGTGATTGGCTGAATACCACTCTGTTCGGTACGTGGTTGAACATTAAAACCTAATGAATGCTCGACCGTGAGCTTCGGACTTAATGCAAGTCTATAGGGCTCAAACTTGTAAATTCTAAAGTGCCCATTTTGAAGGTTTATATGCAAGTTATTGGCCATAAAAGGGGTATGGGGCACTGCCCTAAGGGACATGAATCAGTGAAAAAAGTTTTTTCAAAAAGTGCCATTTTTAAAGGGGCAGTAATTTTTCATTGCTTAAAAAAAAAAGAAATGAAGAAATAATCCTTTAAATATCATGCCGGGGGGGGGGGGGGGGAATACCCTTAAACTACCTGCAAAGATGCACATCTGTACAATGTATAGAACCTACTGCAGCAGGACTGACATTTTTTTTTGTAATTAAATTTTTATAAGAAAAAAAACAGCTTTGACGCCCCCCCCCCCCCCCCAATCCATACCAGACTGTTCAGGTCTGGTAGGAAGGCTAGGGGGGACCCCACAGTAAAAAATCCCCCAAAAAAGTGCATGGGGTTCCCCCTAAAAGCCATACCAGGCCTTTTAGGCCTGGTAGGACCTTTAACCTCCCTGGCGGTATGATTATTTCAGATTTTTGGTGCTGAAAGCGGTACCATTTTTTTGCATGGAAATATGTATTTTTTTTATTGTAGGCCTGTAATTTTTAGGAAAAACTCACTGAAATCTGTCCGAACAAGAGTCTAGTAAACATCCCGGGTATGATAAAATTTGAAACACAAAATCATAAATTATAATTTAATAAATAATCATAAAAATAATATAAAAATAATAAAAAATTTAATTCAATAATATAATCAAACCAAAAACACTGAAATGTGAAATATAGCGCCAAGTTCGCACATTGCTGAGCTCAGTCGCAAAATCGTTTTCAGTGTCTGATGACGAATTTCCCCCACGAATCATTATCACTCAATTCTGCAAGTGGTTCTGATTTACTATCGCTGTTCTCTAGCTGATCTAAACCGCTTTTGACCTAAAGGGACACTTTTTGGACGCCATGGACATTTCTCAGTTTCCAGGCAGAAAGAACAGACAAAATGCAGGCAGGGCGCAGGACAAAGCACTAGGGACAAGATGTATGTGAAATTGGTTGAGACAGCAATGTTTTACTATGTAAAATGTAAAAAAAAAAAAAATGACATTTTTTAAAATTTTTAAATTTCCCGCCGCCGGCGGCGGCGGCGCCCGTACGTCCCGACGTCACAGGGACAGGACACAGAAAGCCGGATGCCGGCATCGGCCGGAGGAGATGGCCGGGGACGCTGCAGGGGACACATCGTGGGAGCGCAGGGTAAGGTAAGTGAAGAACACATGCCGGAGCAGCGCCGCATGGTATTCCCGAGTGTAGCTCGGGGTTACCGCTTTTGGTACTGAAATGTTACCCCGAGCTACACTCGGGAATACCGCCAGGGAGGTTAAGGGGAACTTCCTCTCCTAAAAAATGGGGGGAAAAGTGCGTGGGGTTCCCCCTAAAAGCCATACCAGGTCCTTTGGCCCCGGTAGGACTTTTACGGGGAACCACACCCCCAGAAAATAGGGGGGAAAAGAGTGGGGTCCCCCCCCCTTTAAGTCCTCCTACAGTTTTTAAAAAACTATTTCCTAAGACATAAGCCCAAAGAGATCTTTGTTCTTCCACCTTACTTTGAATAATTAAATACTCAAAACATAAGTTTATTCCAAGAAGGCTATCCTCAAATTGGAGAGTGAGCCTCCTGCAATTGCCCTTGTCAAACTGGTCACATCAGCTAGTATATTAGTTTCTTGAAGGAGACTTTTTTGACTTATTGGAAAATGTTTTAGATTACAACCAGAGCCAGGACAAGGGGTGGGCGGAAGAGGCAGCTGCCCTGTGATCAGGAGTGGCTGCCCTGCCATCATGTGAGGTGGGAGGGGCACCACATGAAGAGGTCCTAACTACAAGCTGACAGGAGTAGTGATGGCAGCTTCACTACTCCTATCAGCTTAGTGCTGGAGGATACAAGCCAGATCTAGAGAGGAGGAGAGAGCTGGGCAGAGGGGTGGGTTTGGCTCTCTCTCCCCTCTAGTTCTTCCTCCTGTCACTGCAGCTCTCCTGGATTGGGACTGCTAGATCATCACTGTGCATTGTTTGTTTATCTTTTCCCCAAGGGTGGACCCATGGGCAATAGGGGATCATGGGGCCCCTGTGTCCTTGCCCAAACTCAAAAAAGCCTATAAAAAAGATACCAGGGGCGTTTCATGGGGCCCCCTACTGACCCCGGGCCCTCGGGCAGTGCCCCCGAGTTCTCGAATGGTCAGTCCACCCCTGCTTCTCCTATCTATTTCTAGCAAAGAACATGGGTAGGGGGTGGCTAGGCAAACACTGCACAGTCGCAATCTGACAACCACTGTCATTTCTAGTGAAGGACCCCAACACTGCAATCCTATAGCCCTCTATAGCCTCCCTATAGTGCTTGACTTTTTTGGAGGTGAGGGAGGTGAATTCTCCTGACACATAATGCTCATACATTTTTTTTTGGGGGGGGGAGCTGTTTGGCATCTGCACCCTGGACGCTAGATGATCTTGTCCCAGTACTGATTACAACAATCTTCCCATTCAGAGACTTGACCCCAGGCTGTTATACCATTGATAAACTTAGTACTAAAGTGAGTTTCCAGTCCCAGTTTCCCGTAACAACAGATTCTAATGTGTCTTTACAGATCCAGTTTTCCACAGTAACAGCTAATGTCTGCAAGTCTGATACAATTATCCTTGGCCTTCTTTTCTCATTCTGGAGTATCAAGCACAGGGTATGGACTCTGACGTCAGCAAATGATTGTACTGAGGATGACGTACTTGGCAAATGGAGTGGACCCTGATGAGAATAATCATTTTTGGTAATCCCAACCAACTACCCTTGTCCTAGGAAAATCTTCATCTGTGAGCTCCAATTCCCATGTAGAGCTTCCACCTTATATCTCCACTCCCAGAACCATGTATCAATAGATTTGAAGAATACAATGAGTGTGTCATTACATGAATACGTTGAGAAACTTGGGATGACCACTTTATAACACACCTAGATCTTGCAAATGGGCGTATCCTGTCAACTATAGTTTTGAATATTGACCACTTGATTGTTGGCCCTCGTGGTCTTTGGAGGAATCTAACTAATGGACTGGACAACAATACATGGCTTGAGTGCCTGTTTCAACACATACGCTACAGGAATGAATATACCATATTGAGAAGTGATATACTTTACATCTACACTTACATTTAGGTGTTCACAAGCATCTTTGCTGGGACTCTGTATACTTACACCGTAAGTCTGATGACTGCTAGTGGAGAGAAATCACCACTATATGATACAGCTTTTGTTCTACAATAATCAGAGGATGGCCTTTAAATATACAATCTCAAAAGAGGACTATGATGTAATTCCTTTAATTTACTGGATTTCAGTGATTTGTTTTTGGTTCTGTTACTTTGCTTGATTTGTTGCTTACTTTTTTAGATGCCAGTCTCATGTGTGGCTGTGGTATTTTCAATTATTTTATACTTTGGCAGCCTACAGGGGTGTTAGGGGCTCTATATTTATGTCTTTGTGATCTTGATTATCATCAATAAAACTATATTTTTGTATTTAGATTTTGTATTAGAGTGATTGTTTGAGTTTAAATTTAAAATCACAAGTAGAGATGAGCGAAGTATTCAAAAATTCGATTCGACTGATTCGGCGAATTCGTGGAAAAATTTCGATTCGAGTCGAATATATTCGCTGCGAATTTAAACTTATAAAAGGGTGTTTCTAGGCTTCAGAGAGCCTTTATATTAGTGCAGAACACTGTACCTTTAATTTAAATGCCTTGGAGTCTGCTGGGAAGAGAAAATAATACTGACAGTCAGTATGACATGCAGATGAGTTGCCGTCGATCTTAGAAATCAACGCACACTTCACTCATTTGGGCAGTCACGGGGCCAAAACCAGAGTGTGGAGCCACAGTGTGTGGCGGTGGAGGCAGCAGCAACGGGGAGGCCATACAGCACCCTATGACAAAAATGGAAACCACCAGCAGTGTGAGGAGACCTGAAAGTGGCACATGGCAGAGTGTTGGCGATGGAGACAGCAGCATTGGGAGCGGCCCGTACAGGGACCCATGACACACTCTGGACCTGGCAAGCAGCATGATGGGAGGCGGTACAGGGGGGCCCAAATGACAGATTACGGGCCTCCTGGCAGCATGGCATGAGGAGTCGGTACGGGGGCCCATGGCAGAATAGGGGCCTGGCAGCAAGCTATGGGAGGCCCGTAATCTGCCAGCACCCTTATGACAAAAAAATGGAACACACCAGCAGTGTGAGGAGACCTGAAAGTGGCACATGGCAGAGTGTGGCGATGGAGACAGCAGCAATGGGAGGCCGTACAGGGACACCATGAGAGACTCTGGACCTGGCAGCAGCATGAGGAGGCGGTATAGGGGCCCATGGCAGATTAGGGGCCTGGCAGCAGCTATGGGAGGCCCGTAATCTGCCAGCACCCTATGACACAAAAATGGACACCCAGCAGTGTGAGGAGAACCTGATAAGTGGCACATGGCTGAGTGTGGCGATGGAGACAGAGACCGTAAAGGGGACCCTGAAGTGGACTTGGCAGCAGCATGAGGAGGCGGTGGGGGCACCATGCAGATTAGTGGGCCTGGCAGCAGCAATGGGAGGCCGTAATCTGCCAGCACCCGTACAAAGAAAATTGATCTACACCAGCAGTGTGAGGAGACCTGAAAGTTTGGACATCGGCATGAGAACGCACTGTGGCTAGGCAGCAGCATGAGGAGGCGGGGTACAGGGGCCCATGCAGATTAGGGGCCTGGCAGCAGCTATGGGAGGCCCGTAATCTGCCAGCACCCTATTCAAAAAATTGAAACACCAGCAGTCAGTGTGAGGAGACCTGAAAGTGGCAGAGTGTGGCGATGGATACAGGCATGGCAATGGGATGGCCGTACTGTGGAGGAGACTCTGGACTTGGGCAGCAGGCATGAGGAGGCGGTATCACGGGCCCATGGCAGATTAGGGGCCTGGCAGCAGCTATGGGAGGCCCGTAATCTGCCAGCACCCTATTGTCCAAAAAATTGAACACCCCAGCAGTGTTGTTGATGGAGACCTGAAAAGTGGCACATGGCATGGGAGTGTGGCGGATGGAGGACAGCAGCCTATGGGAGGTCCGTACAGGGACCCATGAGAGACTCTGGGATCCTTCGGCCATGCATGCATGAGGAGGCGGTATAGTGGGGCCCATGGCAGATTAGGGGCCTGGGCAGCAGCTATGGGAGGCCAGGTAATCTGCCAGCACCCTATGTCTCAAAAACAATTTGAACACACCAGCAGTGTGTTAAGGAGACCTGAAAGTGGCACATGGTGGAGACAGTGAGGCGATGGATGACAGCAGCAATGGGGAGGCCGTATCCAGGGGACCCATGAGAGACTCTGGACTTGGCAGCAGCATTGAGGTGGCGAGCTGGGTATAGGGGCCCATGGGCAGGATTAGGGGCATGGCAGCAGCAGATGGCGAGGACCCGTAATTGTCAGCACCCTATGTCCAAAAATTTGAACCACAACAGCCAGTGTGAGGAGACCTGAAAGTGGGCACATGGCATTGAGACACTGTGGAACCTGGCAGCCGGGGGAGAAGCATGAGGAGGCGGGTACAGGGGTGCCCATGGCAGATTAGGGGCCTTGGCAGCAGATATCCCTATGGGATAGGCCCGTAATCTGCCAGCACACACAGTATTCCCTCTATTGTTCCAAAAAAATTGAACACACCAGGCAGTGTGTGAGGAAGACCTGAAAGTGGCACCAATGGCAGAGTGTGGCGGATGGAGACTAGGCTGCATATAGGGAGGCCGTACAGGGACCCATGGAGAGGACTACTGGACTTGGCAGCCAGACATGAGGAGGCGGGTTTTAGGGGCCCATGGCCAGAATTAGGACGGTCTGGCAGCAGCTATGGGTGGACCGTAATCTGCCAGCACCCTATGTCAAAAAATTGAACACAGCAGCCAGTGTGTGAGGAGGACCTGGTGAAAGTGGCACATGGCAGAGGCTGTGGCGATGGTAAGACTCGCAGCAATGGGAGGCCGTACAGGGAACCATGAGAGACTTGGACTTGCAGCAGCATGTGGAGGCGGTTATAGGGGCCCATGGCGAGCAGCATGAGGAGGTCGGTATAGGGGCCCCATGGCAGATTAGGGGCCTGGCGCAGCTATGGGAGGCCCGTCATCTGCCATCAACCCTATGTCATAAAATTGAACACCAACCAGCAGTGTGTAAAGGAGACCTGAAAGTGGACATGGCAGAGTGTGGCGATGGAGACAGCCAGCAATGGGAGGCCGTACAGGGACTCCATGAGAGACTCTGGACTTGGCAGCGCTCATGAGGAGGCGGTGTCATAGGGGCCCATGGCAGATTAGGGGACCTGGCAGAGTTATGGGGAGGCCGTAATCTGCCAGCACCCTATGGTCAATAAATTCGAACACACCAGCAGTGGGTTGTAAGGAGCCCTGAAAGTGGCACATGGCAGAGTGTGGCGTTGGATGGGACAGAGCAATGGGAGCCGTACTGGGACACATGAGAGACTCTGGAACCTGCGCAGCAGCATTGAGGAGGCCGGATATACTAGGGGCCCTATGGCAGATTAGGGGCCTGGCAGCAAACTATAGGGAGGCCCGTAATCTGTCCAGCAACCTATGTCAAAAAATTCAACACACCTAGCATGTGTGAGGAGACCTGAAAGTGAGCACATGGCAATGAGGACACTGTGGACCTGGCGAGCTGCATGAGGAGGCGGTACAGGGGCCCACATGGCAGATTAGGGAGCTGGCAGCAGCTATGGGAGGCCGTAATCTGCTGCACCCTTATGTCAAAAAAATTGAACACACCAGCAGTGTGTGAGAGACCTGAAAAAGTGGCACATGGCAGAGTGTGGCGATGGGAGGGTCATCAGCAAATGGGAGGCCGTACCAGGGACCCTGAGGGATACTCTGGACTTGGGGCAGCAGCAAATGAGGAGGCGGGTTTAGGGGCCCATGGCAGATTGGGGGCCTTTTTGGAAAAGCTTTTGGGAAAGGGGCCCCCCCCGTTTTCCTTCGCCCAAACCCACCCCTATGTAAAAAAATTTGGAACAAAACCAGCAGTTTTAAAGGGAGACCGAAAGTGGAAACATGGCAGAGGTGGGGGATGGAGGACAGCAGTAAAGGGGGAGGCCTACAGGGCCCCAAATGAGAAAAATTGGGCCCTTCGCAGCGGGCTTTTGGGGAGGGGGGGTTATGGGGGCCCCAGGGGCAGTTTAGGGGCCTGGCGCCCCTAGGGGAAAGGCCCTTAATCTCCCCACCCACCCTATGAAAAAAATTAAAAAACACACCACCCAGTGGGAGGAGCCTGAAAGTGGAACATGGAAATGTGGCCCACTGTGGCCCTTTGGCGCAGTTGGGAGGGGGGGGTAAAGGGGGCCCATGGCAGTTTGGGGGGCCCTTTGGCCCCCTATGGGGAGGCCTGAAATTTCTGCCCAGACCCTATGTCAAAAAATTAAACACCCAGCAGTGTGTGAGGAGGCCTGAAAGTGGCACATGGGGGTTTGTGGGGGATGGGACGGGCGGGAAATTGGGAGGCCCCGTACAGGGCCCCCATGAGAGACTTGGAAATTTGGGGCAGCAGCTGAGGAGGCGGTATAGGGGCCCTGGCGATTGGGGGCCCTTTGGCAGCAGCTATGGGGGGCCCGTAAATCTCCCCAGCCCCCTTTGTAAAAAAAATTAAAACACCGGGCGTTTTGTGAGGAGCCCTGAAAGTGGCCCCATGGCAGAGTGTGGCGATGGGGGGACAGCAGCAATGGGGGGCCCCGTACAGGGACCCTGAAAAGACTCTGGAAATTTGGCAGCAGCTGGGGAGGGGAAAAGGGGGAAGGGGGCCCAGGGGCAGATTAGGGGCCCTTTGGGCAGCAGGCAGGGGAAGGCCCGAAAAATTTTCCCACCCCAAATGCAAAAAAAGTTAGTAAAACAACAAGCTCAGTGTGAGGAGACCTGAAAGTGGCACATCGGGCATGGTGTGGCGATGGAGTCAGCAGTAATGGAGGGCCGTACAGGGACACATGAGAGAATACTGGACTTTCGCAGCAGCAGCATGAGGAGGCGGTATAGGGGCCCATGGCAGTTTAGGGGCTGGCAGCTAGTATGGGTGGCCGGTGCTTTGCCTGCTCCATATGAAATAAAAATGGAAACCACACCTGCCGGAGTGTGAGGAGACCTGAAAGTGTGGCACAAAGTTTGGGGCATGATTTCTATGGGCGGATTTTGTCAGTTGTGTCCCAGGAGAAACTGGTGGTTTGAAATCCAAGACTATATCCAGCCTGATTCATTTTTACAAAACGTGAGTCTTCTCACACTCTTGGGCAGTGGGGACTGTCGTGTCCATTTCGCGGAGATTACCATATCCTCCTGACGCACTAAACAAGCTGCGCGCTCGATTGCCACACTATCTGGCCGGGAATTGACAGCCTATCAAGGGGGCAATATTTCTGCTAGGTTGGCGCCAAAAGAAGTCACGTTTCGTTGCCCAGTAGTACAAGGGGATTGTCTACGCCTCGTTGGTTCGGGTGCTGTCCCATGTAGGACCAAGTCTCTGGTGTTTGAGCTCCTGCGCCAGGTCCACCTGATGCTGCTGCTGCTGCGGCTGCATGTGTGTTTAGTTGTTTCATCACTGCGCTGGTGAAGAAAGCTTACTCATCATCGACTGCAGGTACTGAGGCTGCCGCTGCTGTGGTGGACGCTGCCACTGCTCCTAACACACCACCCCTCCCTGCTGCCATTGGCAGCGGGGAATCGACCTGGAGTCGCCACTGCCCCACAGTGTTCTGAGGTATGGACGTTGGACGCACTAAGGCAGAGAACCTAATGAACTAAAATAGGGTGGTTTTTTATAGTACGTTTGTTTTGGCCTCCCTCCTCAGCAGGTGTGAAAAAAAGGCCACCAATTTTGAACGGTGGTATGCGTTGGGTCTTTCCATGACAAGGTGGACAGACAAAAGTCTTCAATCTGTTGATGGTTATTATTCGGCTGTCGTTATGCAAGCAAGTTAATCGAGCATGCTATGGGCCACTTTTGTGCCAAGGAATGCGAGGGGACTCCCTGCCTCCATCTCATCAGCATACTGCCACGGTTATGCGTCTGGGTCCTCTGTCTCCTCCTCCTCCTCCCTTCTCGTCATCCAGATGCACCTGCTCCTCCACTCCTGTCCGCTGAGTGGAAATAACTCCAACCATTTCACTCAATAATTCCTGAGCACAAATGTCCTCCTCTACCTCCTCCTATTCTTCCTGTCCTGCCACCCACATGGGGTCATGTGGCGTGAGAATCTGTGCGCCACGTCTACCGCACCCCTGACAAGCCACTTGTTAACAGCGATTTGTTGGGGGGGCGGTTTCCCCAGGACGTGCAACA